CACCGCAGAGGACATGTTGTGTTTGTGAGCAGAAAAAGAATACCTTGTTGCAATTTGCAATTTCAGACAGGCTCTAAGATATATTTACTCGTACATGCAGGACTGTGAGTTGCTAGAAGAGCACATTACCATCACCACCCGAACAACCCACCCTTATCTGGATAAATTCGTTAGAGATCAAACCCTCGTGCACACCCGAGAAGCCTTGCAAGGTAGCCCAGCCCACCGTTATTACCCTAACCCTAACCTCACTTGGACTACTAACACTACAGCAGCGTAGACAGCTAGCTCGCAAAACACTCATATACAAATCAATCAACAATCTCATAGCCATTCCCATATACAAATGCATCACACTAAACACTCTCCCCACTCGGGGCCACTCCCTCCTATTGCTTAGTATACATTACCATCTAAGACGGAAGTACATAGGTCCATTTTCCCCCAGAACTGTGACTGAGTGGAACACCTTGCCTCCAAACCTAGTGGCAGCCACCACACTTAACCAGTTCAAGCGGGGTTTGGCCCAACACATGTGCCTCCCCAAACCCAGAGCAAGTATGACGGACAATCCCCAGTAGTGTGGCCATCACTTTATCTTATTTTTATTCATCACCTACATTGTTGTATAGCTAGCTTGTTTGTTTGTTATTCACGGCACCACCACCACCGGTCGCACCTGGGCGAGCACCTCTTTTTTTCCCTCAGCAGGATGTCCCTTGCGAGACTCTAGCTCAGTACCAAATAATATAAGATAAGAACTCCTCCTCGCTTCTTGAGCTGAGGCAGTTGCAGATATACGAACATATAGAGTTAATGCTACGTGGTTTGTCAAATTTCATGAGGAATACGAATTAACGTATCAATAAAAATTACAGATAAAATACCTCAAACACTCATACCATTCTAAAGAAGGGAATTACAGCCCAATATTTTCAACGGTAACAATGATCTGGCGAAGATATGAGATCTGAGACCTCTAGTTCTTTATTTGACGATGCCAAACCCCAGTTATCAATGAACTTGTATGCTATAAAGTGTATTCCATGCTCCACTAATGACAGTCAAAATTCGTTAAAAAAGAGACAGGTACATATTAAAGTAGCATATGAGTGAAAACTCCATTGAAACGAAAGTGGGTGATTTAGAAACGTTCGGTACGTCACTTGCGATGTCAACCAAAAAGATACGTTTATGATTTTATTGATTATATTCTTCCACAAATATAGATAATATAAAGGCCTTAATGGATCTGAGCAGAGGTAATGATCTGAGCGGAGTAATGATGTGACTACCAATGAAAACATGTGAAAGAGAGAATTTGGGGGAAATGTGAATCTTGAAGTGGGAAAAAAGAGACACCCCGGACGCAAGAGAATGCCATTTATCACGTTTATATAATTATAACATCTCGCCTTTATATTTTTTATGTAATGTGGTGGCTACACATAAAAACATGTGCCATGGGTGTCACGTTATTTTCACCCTTACCTAACATTTTACCTGATGATACCATCTCACGTGTATACAACGTCCTTGTCCTATTTACTCCCAGTGCGTTAAATCGCGCAAACTAATCACAGACACTTCACAATGCCCTACTGTCTGCACTCTGACGGCTATTATTATAAATCAAACCTCATCTCCCTCCCAGGTTTCAGATAATTGGACAATTCTAGATTGTCCACAGGACTTTACATTTTCTACAAATTTGACTATAACGCTTTTCAGTTTTTTACTGTAGTCACATTATACTATATTATTTTCAGCTTTTCCATCAAATTCACGTAAATGTCCCATCTATAGACCTCTTAGTAGTGTTTGATGGAGATTCTCCATGTATGGAGATTCTCCATGTGGATGTCTAGACTGTGTAAGCGATAGACGCCACTTGTACATGGGTATGTCAAAAAGACAAAAGAAAATGACACACCATCATGTGCCCCGCAGCTATTGGTTTCTTATATAAATCTTATGACGCAAATGCAAATGAGAGCAAATGTCGACGATATTATGAAAAATGAAGAGAGAATTCAAAGACTCTCATTAAAACGTGCACAACTAAACAAAGACCCCCTATTATGTCTATCTGACCACTATCAATCAAAACCATTTCGCTCCAGTTTTCAGATAATTGCACATTTCTGGATTGTCCATAGAGTTTCATATTTTCTACAAATTTGACTACAACGCTTTTCAGTTTTCACTGTAGTCACATTGGATTTTAGTTATTCTGTCAAATTCACATAAATGTTCCATCTATACACCTGTTAGTGGTGTTTCATTGCGATTCTCCATGTGTATGTCTGTGTCAGCGATGTAGGCCATGGCCACTTGTTAAGTAAAAAAAAAAACATCACAAGATCATCACGTGTGCCCCAGAGCTATTGGTTATGACGCAAATGCAAATGAGGGCATTGTCGACCATACCATAAAAGACGGAGAGAGAACGACGCTGTGTTCAAGCGACGGGACGATCACCAGACCGACTGTCTTCATCTTGTGACAGGCAACTGTTCAAAGTGAGTATCATACTCCCCACATATGTTTGCTTGAAATCATCTTTCTTCTTTAATGACTTACGTTCCGGACGTCGACGTCACGTACATCGTACGATGCACTTACGATGTATGCTTTTTCGCGACGTAAATTTGATTTGAGAAGAACGGGTACAAAATCAAACTTTCCACCGTTTCTTCGCAAACTTTCAACGCACTTTTAACGATGTCGTCGTCAAAAAGAAACTGTATAGGTGTAGCTTTCATTTGCAAATAGACTTATTTCTATTGCAGATTTGATTTATTCAATTATTGAAATATTCGTATTCATTTGCTCTGATTATTGGCGGATGCTGGAAGCTTACTTTTTCTCCGTAAATGTTTCTATAATTGATTTACCGTTCAGCAAAAAGGGGCTATCAGTGTTTGAAGCGCTTTTCTGATCGGTAAAAATGGGGATGCCTGATTTCTAAACTTTCTGCACCCAGCTGTAGGTAAGGCGACCATGTAGCGTTAGTTTCAGTGCAAAATTGTGCCTGGAAAGTTAATATCTTTAGCTTTAAGTCGGTCGACTACGTAATTCTATTTGCACCACGGTCGTCGGCTTTAGTGATCTGATCTGATCTGATCTGATCAGGATCAAGATCACTTTTTAAAATCGCGTTACAATGGTCGATGAAGCAATTTCTTTTCCACATTATCCCAATTTTCCACTGGTTTTAGCACTGGAATCTTCGTGCCCGCACTAAAAAACTTGTATTTCACGAATATCAGCCCAGATTTCTGTACATTTCGCCGTCATTGGTTTCCAAAACATCTGTCTTTTACCAGACAACGATTACCCAACTTGCAAGGTGATTAAAATCAGCAAAAAAGTTTCTTCACAAAACTTTTCCCTCCGTCCGTGGTTTTCCCACCCGCCTAGTTTTGACGGCGAGCGCTCCAGTGGAAAGGCTTTCAGATACGGCCTACGACGAGTGTAACTGCCAATTAAGAGACCTAGCGCGGTATCTAGTCAACCGTTTGACGTTTGAATGGGCTCTCTTCAGTAGTTCCCTGTGTACTACGATTTTGCTAATTACTACTTGCCACTTTGTCTTTTGCTAATTATCACTTGTCACTTTGTCTTTTCGGGTTAAGATATGGGTTTAACCACCCATATCTTAACCCGAAAAGACGGGGCCTCGGGCTTCAGTCCAAACAGAAGCAAAAAGGTGTGCGCGGATGTTAACCTGGGAGGTTCGCGCGGATGTTAACCTGGGCGGTAGGTTTTTGAAGTCTTTTTGCTGACATCGGCGCCCCTTGCCGGGGAGGGGCGTGCCCAACCTGGAAAAAGTTCCCCGCCAGCCTTCAGCGGAGCTCGTCGACTTCGGGTACTTACGACACCTGCCCGAACTGTGCCCGAGTTCGCACTTCATGTTTCACTCGGAACTCAGGCATTCGGTCTAGCTCGGGCCGTCCTAGCACACCGTTCTACCAATAAAGCCTTTGACCTTCCCCATAGTGTCGCTTGTTTTTTTTTCGTTCCTCTAATCTACTATAATAACTATACTTACGTCGCGCTATGTTATTATATTCATAGTTGATAGTTTCCGTACCTATAGCTGTTCCTAACCCTGCCCTGTGCCGCCCCCACAATGACATGTGTGACGTCTCTTACCCTCCCATAGTACTAGTGCATGGCGGCTCGGGCCGTATAGTTGATCGTGAAAGTACGAAATCCAACTTGTTGTTTAATAAGGATGAAAAGGATGTCCTGGATCTTTATGTGGTTTTTTCACAGCCAGCTTGCAACTTCTACGGCGGGCTACGACGAATGTACCCAGTCGTATTAAAACTGCCAGTTAAAGCGCTGCCGGGTGTCTAATCAAACGCGTCGATTGAACGGGTTCTCTACGGGCCTAGCCTGCAGTAGGCCACGCGTACACCCGTCGTGCAAAACTCCGACCGGGAAGCCTAATCTCCAAGCAGATCTTTCGGTGGGGGGAAGAGTGGGGAAATGCCTACAGACTGGCCAATTTCATACTGTCTCTCCCCCCCCCCCACCGAAAAATCTGCTTGTAGATTAGGAAGCCTAGTTGAGCTGGGTGGCGGAGAGTTTAGCCTGGTTAAACAGATCGTCTTGCTTCCCCTTTATCTCTATGGCACTGAGTGCCCTCCGGCCCAGCCTCACGCCCAGCGCACGCTGATGTTTTCAGCCACAGTGAGTTGAAAAACTGGCTGCGACGCTCGAGTGCCACAAAAAGGCCTGTACCAAACTGGGGCGCAGACCGACCGGAACATTCCAAAGCCGGTCCGCCGAGAATGGTCATCAGGCTATGGGGAGTTTTGCACGGGGGAAATTTACTCAACTCCCGCCGTGCAAATCTCCCGGAGCTCGAGAGCCTAGTTCAAATGGGCGGCGAAGAACTAATGCGGGCCCGAAGAGAGGCCACCTAAATCGCGGTAGACTGGACAACGGGCTAGAAGAGACCTGTTTCAACTTCTGAAATATATGCTGTTTCCAGCCCACTGAGCAGACATAAGATGATAATTCGCATCCTTGTTTGCGATTGACGGTTTTTACAGCTAGCTCAATGCACGTGAAATGAAGTGAAATAATCTAGGCTTTGTCTATGTCTATAACTAGTCCTTGACTAGGCACGTTGGACCAAAAGAAGAACAACGTCCCTTGACAGCCACACGATCACAGCAACACATGATACTTTCTAAATGACATTTATCCAAACAAGTATTTTTGTTGACTATCCTTGTACAAAAATGTCCTGACTTGAAACTTATTTCCAAGGTCCCTGTACATGTTCAAAAATGTCCTGACTTGAAACTTATTTCCAAGGTCCCTGTACATGTTCTTTTTTCATATTTGACCCCCTGTAGAATAAAAAGACATAAGAAATAGTCTAATAAACAGTATAAGCGGAAATGATTAACGGCACTTTTTATTTTTATTTTTTCAGACACCATACGTTTCATTTCCCCTGCGGTTATCTGAGACATCCCATACATCGAAGCAATCATGGTAAATTTCCTGCACTTATTATCTCAACTTTTCAAGTTTACTCAATTTCACAGTGATAATGTTATCTAATAAAAGTTGGAGGTTGCTTTTGCTTCACATTTGCATTGTGGAGAAAAAATCCCGTACTTTAGGTAGACAATTTATTTTCGTATCTACGTTTTGGTGTCGTCTCAGGGGCTAGCCTAATATATCATACATTTAAGTGCCGAAAATTCCGGAATTCCACAGGCATTTCTATGATGTTTCCGCACAAACAATTCTGTAGACAACATAGCTTGAGGCTACCTTGGGCTGACTCGATTGATTGACGGGTTGTATATAATGTTTCCACGCACCTTAAAAGTTTGTTGATATAAAATATTATGATTGCAGCCTCTCCCAGCTACCCACGAGATTCACGTTTTTGGCTCCCTCAATGGTATTGAGTTTGACATGGTGGGCCGTGGCAGCGGCAACCCAAAAGATGTAAGTATATGTCATGTTTATTCCATTTTTTTCTGGCTTACATCATGCGAAAGAAATGTGTATCATACAAGCACAGGCTAGATGTTTATGATTATAATTTACCAAGTAATTTTTCATTGAATATCGGCTGCCATCTTCTATAGCACCTCTTCTAGGCCCGTAGAAAGATGTCCAATGCCTTTTTAAAATACACGCTTAGACATGCGACCTAGGCAGACACTAGCAAATAGCCATCTTTCATGTACCTGTTGCGTTGCACTCCACCATAGTCAAATAACGACCAATATATAGAATTTCCAGACAGATCTGTTGGTGGCAAAGTTGTAACCAACCGGTTAGACAGTAAGACATCGGCTACTGAAAAAATTGCTTGGAGATTACGATATGGATGTCTTCTCTAATTGAGGACATTGTTGTGGGCATTTCATTTTTGGGTTTGATAGCGACCTGTAAAACTAAATCGGATCTCTTTCATCTTCAGGGTTCCCAGGAGCTACAAGTGAAGTCCACCAAGGGTTCCCTCCCGTTCTCTGCCCAAATCCTCATTCCCCACTTCGGGTACGGCTTCTACCAGTACCTGCCCTACCCTGACGGGATGTCGCCTTTCCAGGCCGCCATGCACGACGGCAAGGGGTAAGGGTTAGAGTCTGTTTTAATCACCCTCCTCTTACCATCATGTAATGTATGATTTAAAAGGCAACAGAACACACAAAGGGTAAGAACAAAAAATGTATCTCATAAACAATTTGTCGTTCAGCAGTCGATCAGCGGTCACAACCCCTAGTGAAAAGAGAATATTAGCAACATTTGTCTCATGTGTTTGTTTGTTTGTTTGTTTGTTTGTTTTAGGTACAAGGTTAGCCGCACAATGATGTTTCAAGACGGTGCCATTATGGATGCCCAGTACCGCTACACCTACGAGGGAAGCCACATCAAAGGAGAGATGCAGGTAAAGCAATCCGGTAATATTTCGACTGAAAATCCGGCTTCTTACACAATGCGTGTTCCGCATGGGTGTCATGAAGACGACAGTGGTGTTGACGTTGCTTTCCTCAGGTCGGTTTTCTAGTAAGCGAACACTCAGAGACCCAAAGTTTTTAAGTTTTTTTAAAGCTTCACGTTCTTTTGTATGTTGCTCTTGTGTGACTGCTTGGAAAATGCCGTATTTTTAGGGGGACACAGCCGCCACTAAATGAACAATTAGTTTCGTCTTCCACTGCAGTTGAGGGGCAATATTTACAAATCCTCTCCGACACAGGTAGAAAGAAGGGACAATCTGATGTGAGTGATTGCAATTGCGAGGTATAGTTCCTCTGCTGAAGTCATGAATACTAATTGTGTTGACAATATTTTTCTGTAGGTGGTCGGGACCGGATTCCCAGCTGATGGCCCTGTGATGACCAAGTCGCTCAAGGCTGCTGACTGGAATGTGACCAAGATGGTGTACCCTGACAACAAGACCATCCGGGCCACCTATGACTGGACATACACGTACGTGTTTTTTTTACTTCATTTTTTACCTCAAACCAAAGCTCATACGAAGCACTTACATGATTTGGGTTACATTAGGGAATCTGGAACTGTGAAGACAGATGTTTGTTTACTTTATACTTAAAAAGTTAAAGGCTATAACCATTTGGGAAGCATTGACAAGGAAGCTTGTTCCATAGTGATGTAGCAATTTCAACCACCTCTCGCTTTTGAAGGCAGTTGTAGATGTATGAACATATGGAGCTAGTAGTACAGGGTCTGTCTATAATGAATAGCAATGAATAAGAATTTTTCGTTTCTATGTAAATTTGAAAATTGGGAAACTTTTCTTGAATACAATCATAGAGGACATTCCTCTCATTTCTATACAATTAATCCTTTGCATTTGAGGATGTTTCTCTTGCTAAAAATGTATTTTTAATAACTTGTTCTGTACCCGACCCCCACCTTACAGCACTACCAGTGGGAAACGCTACCAGAGCTCGGTGCGGACCAACCACACCTTCGCCAGCCCGATAGCCGCCAACATCCTGCAGCAGGAGCCGATGTTCGTGTTCCGTAAGACGGAGCTCAAGGGAAATGCACAGGACACCGAATTCACCTTCAGGGAGTTGCAGAAGGCCTTTAGCGATTTGATGTAAGCGTCCAGTGTGTAACATTTGCTTGAAAACACCCCCAAAACATAATACAATAAATTCTAGTTACACTCAGCACCAAAACAAGAAGAAGGAAAACATGGCCGTTACAGAACTTTCAATATCGATCACTTACCTCAGTTTTAATTTGTCAATATTTTAAAACATGTATTTCTCATAAATACTGACAGATTTAATACGGATACATTTAATATTCAAGACGTTTTCACCATTCGGCTACAGACATATGACGGCCATGATTGTCAACCAACCTTTTTCTCTCACACTTTCTTGAGAACAACACCTCATTTGAGAGTGAAGATCCTAATACTGCTTTTCATAAAGAAATACTGTTTTTCATAGGCATTCCTTGTACTTCAAAGGGGGTGTTTTTGACAGTCAAATGTAAGTCTCACTGGATACTTCGCATCATTTTTTATTATATTGTTGGTTTTGGTACAGCGGTGAGGGCTGTACAACACAGCCTGGGTCAGCAAAATTCTATCAGTAGTTCTCTTTTAGGACCCTAATGGCAGGTTACTTTAGTGATCATGTAGGTTAAGTACATTGTGAACCACCATAGCTTAATATTTTTATATCCAAAGATGGGTACCATCTGGAAATTTGTACGTTCTCGTGAGAAGTCTGGATCAACAACTCTAGTCAAAAACAATAAGACAATAACAAGGAACACAATGTGCGTAGTTAAGTAACGTTGAGGTTTTTTCATGTGGCGTTATAAGTGACTGCGCCGGCATTTATTGCATCGATGGTTACACCAGGCCAATACTTAGTATTGATAAGAAATGCTGTTGATTGTGCATATGCAATTGCAAGTACATGTTACCATTGTGTTGGAGGCTGTGGTGACTGTTAGTCACAGAGAATCCTGAGCTCCTATTGGACTGATTGTCATAGAGATAAAGTATCTTTAGCTCCTATTGGACTGATTGTCATATTGATACAGTATCCTATGTCATATTGATAAGAAGACTGAGCACCGTCAGTACTTCTGGGAATGGTTCTTTCGAGTTAGTCCAATCAGCTACTAACACTTGTAGCAGTAAAACGAGAGTTAGTAACGATCCCTTGTGCACAAAAATGTAATGACAAAGAACGAATGTGAATTTTCCAATGGTAAGAATATCACAACATTTACACAAGAAGCTTTTTATTTCTAAATGTTTCGTTAAAGATGGGTCTGTTTCCTGCCATTCTTGGGATTATGTTGCTTGTCTTTGGTATTTGAAATAAAGGCTTTGGGTACTTGATTGCTCAAATTGTTTTTGTTTATTCATTTTGTACTTGATAATAGCATACACATGAAGTATAGAGCTGATCTCAAGCACAAAGGCGAAACAATGCATAGAGGAAATTAAACCGCCCATGTCCATAAACAAAGATACCTGATATTTAGAAATGGTGTGAACATTGAATGTTATCATTTTTTCCACATACAGTCTGCGCATCTACACAAACCATTGACCTGATTTAGTTTCAGTTTCAGTTTCAGTTTTATTGCAGTCAACTTGCCTGTACAAATAAATTTGTGCCATGAAATACGTTGACAGTTACATCAAAATGCAGTAAAAACACTGGGCTCTCAGGAACACGATTTAAAACGGTACATTATTAAATTAAAACCGGACATTGTTGTACATATATAAAAACAGCTAAAAAGCGAACGGTACATTATTAAATTAAAACCGGACATTGTTGTACATATATAAAAACAGCTAAAAAGCGAACAAATATAAACAGCAAGTACAATGTATATCAGTTCTCATCGCTTAGCTCATGTTGTACAGCTTAATGGCTCTGGGGAAGAATGACTGTTCATGTCTCTTAGTACGGCTATGTGAAGTCATGACATGTCTAACTCGTCGGAGGTCATAGCCACTATGCAATGGACAGGATATAAAACAGTTCAGTGGGTTATCCTTATCATCTAGGATACTCCGGAAGACACGTAGTGTTGCCTGGTCACCCCTGGACGCCAAGGTCGGCAAGGAGTTCGGAGAAATGCCCATTATTCTGCAACAGCGTCTCTGGACTCCTTCGAGAGTGTAAGCCAGACGATTGGGTAGACCCCCCCAAACGGGACTGGCGTACTCCAAGATCGGACGAATAAATGACACGTAGATCTGGGTGAGTACATCCGTGGAAAGTCCAGCTTTCCTGGCGGCAGCGAGATAGTAGATTCTGAGTCGCGTCTTAGATAGCATGTACTGAACATGGGCGTCCCATGTAAGGTCCGCAGAGATCTGTACACCAAGAAGCTTGAAAGTGACAACCCTTTCGATCTGCTTACCATCTACGGTAGGGTGTGGGGGAACGGGCACATTCTCCTTCCTCCTCGCGCTGACAATTTTAGCTAATTATATAGAATTATCTCGTGATAAAATCCATCTTCTGTACTGTACGCCCTAAGGTTACACGTTTCTGTCATTCCGTGATTTATTGGTGTTTGAAATGCCCGGGGAAATACCACTACGTGGTGAGGCGAAGCCATAGTAAAAAGGACTTTCACATCGACAACTATCTCCCATCAGTTCAAAATAAATAATTCGTAGCTACCATTACAAAACTGAGAATTGAAGCACATTGCCTCGAGATTGAAAAAGCAACAGCATACCAGCTGATCAAATGTAAAACTACAAAAACATTACCCAACACAAATACAAGAGGCCAATGGATACAAGCGGCCAATATAGACTCCTCTTGCCCACCAGAATCTGCCTTACCATAATCGTCCTTTTCTCCCGCCATTCTCCCATGCAGAGCTACCCCGCTGTACTACTTCTTTATTCAAGCAATGATCAGCATGGCAGCAGTACATAAACAATTATGGACCGCTGACTTGTACTCACCTAACATAAAAATACAATGTAGGCACGTACAGGACATACAGATTCACGACAACAACATGTAGAACACACACATAAAAACTAACTTGTAGAGTCTGATTTTGTGGTGCAGAAACGAGCTCTGGATTCTGGAAGTTCTTGCCATGGGAACCCTGAGTCCACCCTGTGCTCATCAGCCCGTGTTCTGGCCAACCGGCGTAGCCAACATTGTCATTTAGTGTGTTCAGGTGAACTATTGTCCGCGTGCTCATGAACAGCAGGAACAGATATGGGGAAATCACTCCACCTTGTGGTACACCAGATGTTAGTCACTCATCCCCTCCACTAGAGACGAACGGAGAACGACTCGTCTACAGCTACGCAACACTACACATCTTCGCTTCACGTTCCCCGCTGTAGAACGAAGGTGTACAGGTCCAGTTTTATTACACACGCCTCTACCCTCTGGAACCGTCTTCCACAGGCACTGAAGGAAGCCAGTAGCCTAAACGACTTCAAGAGAAAGTGCAAGGAATACCTGTTCACCTCGAGACATAACCAGCTGTACAGACGTCAAGGTACTCGGTACTACAACATCCGAGTACCTTACTGCAAGGCTACGAATGGACTGGAGCCCACTAAATGCCACCTTGCACCTGATGAAAATCAAAGACAAAATTTGCTCCTGTGGTTCCTCTTCTGAGACTGTTTCCCATTACTTGCTACGCTGTGGTCTCTACAGCCACCAGCGTCACATTTTAGCCTCCACAGTAGAGCAACTCACACCACACCGTCTAACCGAGGGGCTACCAGGCTGTAACATTCACACAAACAACTATTTGAGGCACTTGAAACATTTATTTCCGCCACAAAACGTTTTGATGGTCCTTCCAGTGATACCACATAAGATAACCTCATATGATCTTGCGTTATATACATTTCCTCACATATTGTATTATATTGCCTCTGACCTCTGACCTCCAAAGCACTATATTATTATTATCCTGTTTGAATACTTTTATTATGCTCTGTACTTAAGTTTGTGGTTATTCTGTATTGTTAATTGATTGATTTTAGCTTAATGTCGTACTTGTTAGCTTACTGTATTAGTATGTTTTATTGTGTATTTTAATTTTGGATCTTTTGGCAGCCGAAATCAGCCATGCTGCCTGGGTGGCCAATGTATTGTCTTGTTACAATTTAATTAGAATAAAGTGTGCACCAGGAGCTCGTGTCCCCTTTGATAACTAGTGGCGGCAGTCTGTCCTGCAAGTAGCCGTGAATCCATGCCACCATTCTGCTGGAGCAGACCTGGAGGAGCAGAGCGTGGTCCACGAATTCGAAGTCGAACGCTTTGGTCATGTCTACAAATACCGTGCGTATCACGTAGCTAGCTGAAAACTACCACATGATGTCGAATAAGCTGCCACAAATTACACATCGAAAGCAGGAGACCTAACTCCCTAGAACAACGAATATGTCGATACTGTGATCTAGGAAAAATTGAAGATGAGAAACATGTAACGCAAAAAAACAGCTGCTCAAGCAACTGGATATGATTTTGGAAATGGTCAGACGTTTCAGGTAGCATCCACTACCTTTCGTCGGTGACACTAAGAGACTGCAGGAAGAATGCAGGTTTATAAGCAAGAACTATTGATGTAACGTTTCTAGAATGCAACGTTTCTAGAATGTAAATAAGCGTTCTTCTATCGGCACCTAAACATAGGCATGCTAGTGTAGGTCTGTACAACCTACATATATCAACTGTGTGAGGATGCGGGCTGCAGACCGGGAGCCCAGTACTATGGAGGATAGGGAGGGCTTGCGGAGAAGAGTTATGGACATCCGTGAAACTCTCACGACAAGATTATGAAGCTATACAACAAAGAGAGAGCAGCAGAACTTACAGTCTGATACAACCCATGTTTTCCTACTTAATACACCTAAGCAGTACAGATAAATTTATATTTCTAATGAACTTAGACAAACCTTTGATTATGAAACATACCTGTTCGTACCCTTTTACCATTACTAAGAAGCGAGAAGAAGCCGAATTTACTTTTTTAAATGTATACATGTAACTTTATCTGTATTTTCTAGTCTTTTCTTGTTACCTGTACTTAACCCAGTGGGTATGTGTGTACAATAAAGGTCTTCATTCTTCTTCAATGGTCGAGGGAGATAGCTCTGCATGGGAGAATGACTACCGCAGGAGCCGCGGACTGCCGCTCGAAGTGCGCAATTATCTGCAACTGGAGCGTAATTATTTTGATTGATAGGTGTCAGTCTGAGAATGCGGAGACACTTGAGTGTCTTTGTTTAGTTTTGCACGGTTTAATGCACTGTGAGCAAATAGGTCAAGCATGTTACATAAGCATAATATTCACGTGAGTTGAATTATGATGTAAAGGTGAGAAAACGTGACAACCCTGTCACGTGTTTTTATTTGTGGTCAACACATGACTTCCGCGACCTAGGCATGTGACAAGGGGTTGGCTTGACTACGCTAGCAGCTATAGTTCAGCAATGTTTTATGTATCAATCTTTTTTTCAACAAAATTTGGCTAGGAGATGAAAGTAAGAAATATTTATAAGATCAAAATATGAAAATTATCAATCTCCTATACTTGGGGTGAAAATGTATTGATGTTATTAAAAGAGCTTGTGCCCACTGCGAAACGACTATCTAACAGGAAGGTTTTGGGAGTAATAGATAACATGTCTGTGATGTCTTGCATGAGCGGGTCTGTTGCCTATACTGCAGTAAGGCCAATATTTGGGGCAAATAATCAATGTAGCGGACGAAATCAACTTAGTCGTTCTTGATCGAGTTGCTACAATAGCACATTATGAGCCCCCACCCCCAAACAACCCACCTCATCTGTGTAAATTCATTAGAGCCCAAGCCTTCATGCACACCTCAAGCTCAATTTTTTACCCTAACCCTAACCTCTACAAGAATGAGCTTAGCAGTAGTTTTTCCAATAAACAAACTTATTAAGACATTTTGTTTTAGTTGCAGAGGGACGTTACGCGAATCTACAATTTAGATTTAATAAGTTTGAAGGCTGTTTTGCTTGTGTAAGGTTTTGCTCGGGAGTTCTTGCTTGTGTATACGGTATATATATATATATCAAGTGAAGTCTTTCTACAACATTTCAGCTGAGATGATTCGGCCTTTGCATTTGCAGAACGGACCAAGGACGCAACACGCGAAGAAGGTCACAACGCGGTTTTCGGGACGATTTTCAGCTTATGAAATCAATATACCACAATACTCGAGTGCAAATGTGGGCATCCGAATGAGACACCAGAACACTATTTATTACACTGCAAATGTTATAATACTGAAAGGACCAAAATGTTGTTATCCATATCTTGCCTTCATCTTGAAAACATACTTCCTTCCGACCCACTCAACGTAAACGACGCCACATTATGTACTTTACTTCTTACAGGTAGTTCCTCCCTCCCATACCCTACCAACTGCCGTATCTTTGATATTGTGTTTAACTATATCCACCACTCTGGAAGATTTGACCAATCTCAATAATGTTATGCTAGGTATTGGTGCGCCAGCCACTTTCATTTTATGTTTATGTTATACTTTATGTCTTCTCTATGTTACATTTGTATTATGTTTTATGAGCAGCGGATTTACATAAGCACAACAAGTGCTTCCTACCCAATGCTCAAAAATCCATGTGAATAAATAAATAAAAAAAAATACCACAATACTTACACCCCACACAACACAAAAACAAGTAACACATAGATCCATCAAGCTATCCATCTGTAAAATAAGTCTGAGTGTTATCGAAAGTCTTGCCTACATTTGTATATATGTAATTAAGAGTTCCATAAAGTATTCGTACCGTTTTTGTGTGATCAATCTTTCTACAAAAAAACTAGAGTTCGTGTAACACGTGTTTCCGTCAGGTGTAGACGTTTTGTTTTTATATTGTTAATGTGGTCATTTCGTTAAATTGATTCTATTTGGGGCTAAATAGTCTTAAATATTAAATGTAGAATTAGATACATGATGGTGTTGGTTGCAACCAGATGCAGGTTTGCGTGGGATCGTATTAAAAGTGTGAAAATTTGTAAGAAAGACGGGGGGAGGGTTGATCAAAGGAAGGGATTCAATTCATAATACTAATGTCGTAAAAAGTAGCATAATCCTGTTTTTGAAAATTATGTTATGTTAAGCCTTTCTACATGTACAACATTTTAAGCTGAGATAAATCGGACAGGGCATGTGCAGAACGCACCAAGGACGCAGCATGTGAGGGAGGCTTCAGAGGGGACGGTTTGCAGCTTATGAGAAGGTCCCTTAAATGATCTTTTATCACTAAATCACTATACCACAATACTAACAGCCCACACAACAAAACCAGGTAATACATAGCTCTATAAAGCCGTTAACCGAGTCTGTTCAAATCAATTATACTTGATTCGACATATCCATGTACAACACCTTCAACACCTTCATATGTTAGGCAATGTAGAGATTACACATAAAAAGCATGTGGCAGGGGTGTCACGTTTTTTCACCTTTTTTCACATATAACATTTTACCTGATGATACCATCGCACGTGTATACAACGTCCTTACCCTATTTGCTCACAGTGCATAAAACCGTGCAAAAATAATTACAGACACTTAACGTAACAATGCCCCGTTGTCGCTGCAATCTGTCTCACCACTATCAATCAAAATTATTCCGCTCCAGGTTTCAGATAATTGCACAATTATGGATTGTCCATAGGGTTTTATATTTTCTACAAATTTCTTACATTATGTTCAGCTTTTCCATCAAATTCACGTAAATGTGCCATCTATAGACCTGTTAGTGGTGTTTGATGGTGATTCTCCATGTGTATGTCTGTGTCAGCGATAGACGCCACTTGTGAATGGGTATGTCAGAAAGACAAAAAAAAAAAGTCACATCATCATGTTGCCCACAGCTATTGGTTTGTTTAATTGATGCTCTGACGCAAATGAAAATGAGGGCAAATTGAAGGACGCTCATTAAACCGTGCACAACTAAACAAAGACACTTTTGTCTCTATAATTTATCTGACCACTATCAATCAAAAATCATTTCGCTTAAGGTTTCAGATAATTATACAATTATTGATTGTCCATGGGATTTTCTATTTCTTCAAATTTGACAATAACGCTTTTTAATTTTTACTGTAGTCAATTTTTATAAAACATTATTTTCAGCTTTTCCATCAAATTCAGATAAATGTCCCATCTGTACACCTGTTAGTGGTATTTCATGACTGGCGCTAAATGCACCTGCGATGTAGGCCACTTGTACATGGGTATGTCAAAAAGACAAAAGAAAATATCACAAGATCATCACGTGCGCCCCACAGCTATTGATTCTGAAGAAAATGCAAATGATTGCAGATTGTCGATGATATTATCAAAGATGGGGAGACAAAGACGCTCATCAAACCGTGCACAACTAAACAAAAACACCTTTGTCTCTGTAATTTATCTGACCACTATCAATCAAAAATTATTTCGCTTCAGGTTTCAGATAATTGTACAATTATGGATTGTCCATGGGATTTCATATTTCTTCAAATTTGACTATAACGCTTTTCAATTGTTACTGTAGTCAATTTTTATAAAACATTATTTTCAGCTTTTCCCATCGGTACACCTGGTAGTGGTGTTTCATTGCTGGGGTTAAATGTACCAGCGATGGAGGCCACTTGTAAATTGGTATGTCAAAAAGACAATACAAAACATCACAAGATCATCACGTGTGCCCCACAGCTATTGGTTCTGACGAAAATGCAAATGAGGGCATTGTTGACCATACCATAAAAGACGGAGAGAGAACGACGCTGTGTTCAAGCGACGGGACGATCACCAGACCGACTGTCTTCATCTTCTGACAGGCAACTGTTCACAGTGAGTACTATACTCTAGACTAGTATTATACTCGCCGCATATGTTTGCTTCAAAATCATCTTTCTTCTTTAATGACTTACGTTCCGGACGTTGACGTCACGTACATCATACGATGTACTTGCAATGGATGTTTTTTCGCGACGTAATTTTGATTTGAGAAAGAACGGGCCGGGTACAAAATCAAACTATTCCCCGTTTCTTCGCAAACCTACAACGTACGACGATATCACCGTCAAAAACTTTGTAGGCGCAGCTTTATAATTAATTTGGATTTTCCCGAAGATACTTTTTTCTATTACAGATCTGATATATTCGATCATTGAAAGATTTGTGTACATTTGCTCTGACGATTGGCGGATGCTGGAAGCTTACTTTTTCTCCGTAAATGCTTCTGTTATAGATTTGACGTTCAGCAAAAAATGCTATAAGTGTTAGAAGCGACTTTATGATGGGTGAAAAATGGGCATACATGTACCTAATTTCTAACATGTCTGCCCCTAGCTATAGGCAAGGCGACCATGTAGCGCACTGAGAAACTTGTATCCCGCGAATATCAACCCACTGATTTCTACACATTTTGCCGTCGTTGCTTTCCAAAACATTATTGTCTTTTACAAGACGACGACGATGATCCACCCATTGGAGTCGTCAAAAGTGTCATCATTTTCGAATCCTTGTCCAGGATACTTTTTACCACTTGCAAACTGATTGAAATCAGCAAAACTTCCCCTCCATCCGCTGTTTTCCCATCCACCTAGTTTTGACGGCGAGCCCTCCAGTGACTTTAGTAGATATGGTCTGCAAATGAGATCTGGTCTCGTACGCGCGCGGCAAAGGCATTCTTGAGATAGTACAAAATCACTTGTCACTTTGTCTTTTCGGGTTAAGATATGGGTGGTTAAAGACAGGGCCTCAGGCCTCGGCCCGAACAAAAGCAAAGGCGTACGCACAAATGTTAACCTTGGGAGGTACGTACGCGCGGATGTTAACCTTGGTGGTAGGTCTTTTTTGCTGACATCGGCGCCCCTTGCCGGGAGGGCACGCCCAACCCGGAAAAGTTCCCTGTCAGCCTTCGGCTGAGCTCGCCGATTTTCGGGCACTTCCGACACCTGCTCGAACTGTGCCCGAGTTCGCACTTCAGGTCTCACTCGGAACTCAGGCATTCGCTCTAGCCCGGGCCGTCCTAGCACACACACGGAATTCTACCAATAAAATCTTTGACCCTCCCCATAGTGTCACTTCTTTTTTTCTTCCTCTAATCTCCTATGATAATACTTACGTCGCGCTGTTATATTCATAGCATATCTCGTATATCAATAGTTACCAACTTACCATGCAACCTAGCTAGCACTTCAGCCAACATTGGAGATTTGAAAACTTTAAGAAAGATTGTAGAAGCGTATCTCAACTCACGTTACGTTGGTGTCGACAGGAATGACGACCGGAGTTGTGCAGGTCAGAGCCCTGCCGACCTTCCCGTGGTAGGCGTCCACAGTGAGGTTGGAGGCCCGACCCGCCGTGCCACAGTCCCTGCACTCCGGAAAACCGTCCTCGTTCACCGTGTACACCACCTGGATGTTGTTCAGTTTGAAGCTTGTACTGTCCGTGCCGATGTTTTTGGAGAATTTTATAGTTACCTATGGCTGTTCCTATCCCTGCACCGCGCCACAAAAAATGACATGTCACGGACGTAGTCTGTGCTATCTCCTGCACCTCCCATAGTGCTTAACGAATCGCGATAGTACGAAAGTTCGAAATCCAACTTGCTGTCTTGATACGCAAAAGGCTGTCATAGGTCCTTAACTATGCATGGTTTTATCACAGCC